AGAGAGAGAAGAAAAATAGGGAAGTACGGAGAGAGAGGGTTGGAGAGTAGGGAGAGAGATGGAAGAGAAGAAGGTTAGTAAAAGTGTATTTTAGTTGACAGAGAGAGAGAAGAGTGAGAGAAAAATTAAGGGAATACGGAGAGAGAGAGAGAGAGAGGTGTTTGGGAGATGGGGGGAGAGAGAATGGGAAGAGAGAGGTTTAGAAAAAAAATGCATTTTTAAGTTTGACACGAGGAGAGAGAGAGTGAGAGATACATGAGGAGAAAAAGAGAGAAGTTTGGGGTATATAAGTAAAGAGAGAAAAATGTTGGGTTTAGAAAGAATATGTCTTTCTCACATTTGTTTATATTAAAAAATATGTTTAAAGTGGTCACGGGGTTAGAAGATATCTTTTGAAACGTTGGATTTATCAAGAAATAAAACCTAAAAATAAGAGATATGGAGATATTTTCCCTATTTTTAATTATAATACTAAATAATACATTTATATATTTAACAAAGGGTGTGGTATCTATAAGGTCACAAACGTAAACAATCCAATTAAGGCGCACCTCCAAATTTTATCATAACATATAATTTTGGTTTAAAAAATTCTTAAGATTATTTAAAAATATATTATTATCTCTATTTATAAAATTTTAAACTAAAAAAGATGATTAAAATCAAGGAGATCAATAGACATATTAAAATCTCGAAAATAGACTGTCGAGATAATGTGTTGTAAGATGTACTATTTATGGGACTGAAAATGTTTTTTTTTTATATTCATACATTTAGAGTTGAGATGATCAATTAGATGATTCTTTAAGATTAAAACGACATCTTCCGATGGATTTTGACGTGCAACTTTAATTCTACCTTTTAAAGTTGCAACCTTATATAAACTTTCTCCTTTAACAAATTTATAAGATATAAGATATATAGCTATTTCTATTTTTGGGTCAGGCCGGTCGGATTGGGTCTGATTTCGGGTCCCACATTATATTTTCAGGTTCGGGTATGGTTCCTGTGAATTCAGATCCAGTCGGGTTTAGGTTCGGACCTGGACCCAGACCCAGACGTGGACATGACCAGACCCGTTGCCACCCCCTGGGGACTACTCGACTCAGCCATAGGCAAAGGCCAAGTGAACTTTGGCCAGTCTTAAAACACTGATATTAACAAATAACTACATTTCCACTTTACAAGCTTGAAAAAAATGATTCCCCCAAATCCGGTAGCTATGGTTTTGTCAACATTCCCAAAAAAGAAAAAAAAAAGAACAAAGAAAAAACTACTACAATATGCTCATCATAAAAGAGAAGGAAAGATATCTTTTTAACTCGTATTTAAGATAATCTTTTTTTTATGTGAATTTTAACCATGGTTGTATATAAGAGAATGTGTAGTACCTGAAAATTATAGCGAGGATGAAGGTGATGGCGGGGCAAAGGTTATTCATGGCACCAACTACGGTTGGAGAAGAGTACATGAGCCCTGCAAAATAAGCATTCTGTGTCCCTGTTATCCCACATAAAGCTAACATGAACAGTTTGTAAAACACTGGCCTTGTGAGAGATGGGCGCGTCTTCCTGCAACATATACAGTTCTCAAAGGTTAATTCTCTTATATCAAACTCACATTGTCTTTTTATTTATTTCTTTATTTTTTAAGATGTGAACCATAAATGCCTACTGTAGTGTTTCATAAGATAAATTTATCTTTTTTGAGGTTTTATTTTGATAAATTCATATTTTTTTGACATTCTCTGCATTTCTTATTGGATGCAGTTGGCATACGGATGCATCCGTAGGTGTAGAGGTAAGGTGCACCTTCAAATTTTATCATGGTATATGATTTTGATGTAAAATGTTGTTCGGATTATCTAAAAATCTATTTTTATATCTAATTATAAAATTTTAAATTTAAAAAATGGTTAAAATCAAGTAGATCTATAAACATACAAAAATCTTGAAAATGGACGATGTAGAGTTTGATATTGAGATTAAAAAGGGGAAAAAAGAAAGAAAAAAGAGAAGATTAACAAAGAAGAAGAAGAAAAATAGTTGAATTTTTTTTTCTCTAGAGGCTTATGTTAGGTTTAAAATTTAGTATCTGACAAAAAATAAAAAATTAAATTCGAAAGTCGAAATTTTTCCACTAGAGGTTTATGTTAGGTTTAAAATTTAGTATCTTAAAAAAAAAAAAGAATTAAAATGCAAATATTTTGAAATCAATTCAATTTACGAGTGTTTTTAATTTTTTAAAAAAATATAAAAATTCTCTAAAACATAACATGATTTGCAAGGAAATTTAAAAATTCAGTCAGGATAAGACTGTAAACCATACCATGGTATATAAGAAACAATCTGAGAGGAAATAATACCTGGGGTGACTATAAAGTGTTCATTAGCAGACATACACCCAATTTTTATATATATATATATATATATATAGTTGAAAAAAAGCTCTGATGATAATATTAATATACGTATATACATACATGTCAACCTACATTCACACACACAAATGAAATTAACATCACATATATACACTTTGCGCGATTAGGAAAATGCATGTTCATCACATAAAATGTTGTCAGGATGGGGCTTCAGAACTCCTGCTCTGCCATATCCATTCACAAAAGAAAAAAGAAAAAACTTCCACACAAATAAAAAAAGTAGGGCATGAATTTGAAGATCTTTAGGATGCATAAATATGTATGTGAGCCTAGGAAAGCATCAATGTATTTATATTGCATGGTGATATGTCCCCATGTAAAAGAGGTTTACCTTTCTAGAAAGTAAGCAAAAGGGGAGAGAACCAGTGAGGCTACAATGTGTCTATACACAATGAAGACATGGTAGCTCATGCCTCTCTCCAAAGCTCGCTTGCTCACAATATCAGCTGAGGCAACAAGCAGTTGCAGGCTGATCATCACAACATAAGGACCCCACCCTGCCATCTCTCTCTCTCTCTCTCTCTAAATATAAATATATATGTCTACCTAATGCTAAGCTCTCTCTCTCTACTGAGTGCCAAGAACTGAATTGGGGTTCTCCTAAGATTCCCTCTCCTTGTATTGGCAAATTTATAGCATGTAACAATAAAAAAAACCTATCATCTCTTTCTCTATGTCTCTCTCATGTTAAGGACTGATTATGAGAGCTCTTCTAGCACTCTATCTATTTGTACTCGCAATTTATAGCATGGAAACAATGATAAAAAAGCTGTACCATGGATACTGTGGGGAGCAATCTAGTTCGAGAATATTTTTTGGAGTTTTGAGTTTAGTCAATGACACACTCACAACCACCGAATTTAAAATTTAATGGACAAGAGTGATTGTGACTTCTTTGTATCAAAATCATATATTTTTCTTTATATATTTTTCCTTTGATAAATTTCGTTGCACATTTTGATATGTCAAATATTTTGTAATTTGAGAATGGGGTTGGGATTGGGGTTGTGGTGGTAGCACTCCCCAGCTAAAATCTAAGCGTCAATTTTCACCTAACGCATTAAAAAACCACTAAAGATTTAAAAAATAGATAGGGGCTCGTCATCCCTACTAAATTATCTAAAAAATATAAAATTAAAATTTGGTCCAAATAATGATGACAGCTTGAAATCAGATAAAAAACATGTAGATAAAATGTCAAATAGTCTAAAAGTACGGTGTAATTCAATAGATATGCCTTCCTTTGAGACAGTAAAAGTGAATTTCAAGCAGAGGGGCACCTCATGACATATAACGTCCGTCCGGCACAAAGTAGCATAAACGACAAGGAATCTCTCCTTGTTGTGTTGCTTTTTGGAGGTAGTTTCGTTAAAGTTAAAAGTTTGCCAACGAGTATGTATTCTACAAGTTTGCCTGCATGTTTCTCTTTTCTCTCTTTCTTTCTCTAAAACAAACAATTCTCTCTCTAAAACAAACACTTTTTGAAATTGAAAGTTAAAAACGCTTACAAAAACTTTTTTGAGTCATGGTCTACTGGTACCTTTAAGTCCCTATTTCTATTAAGTATGTGGTTTGTATAAAGTTGCAATCTTAAACGACCTCCTATTTTTATTATAAATATAATTTTGATGTAAAATTGTTTTAGGATGACTTGAGAATCTATTTTTTTAAATATCAAATTTTAAATTCTAAACATGGTTCAAATCAACTAGATCTATAAATACTTGAAAATCTTTAAAATGGACGGTTCAGATAATGTGTTGCGATATATATTATTTTTAGGACTAAAAATCTTTTTTTTTCTTTCATATTCATACCTCTCGATGCATAGAGTATCAATTAAAACATTTTCCAACATCAAAACAACCTTTTTATAAACTTACAACCTTATATAAATATTTTTCTTCTATTAATAATGCTGCCATGGTTAAAAGATGTGTTTTGAATCCCAGATAGGCGACGTAAACCAACCATCCAGAAATTTGGTTCGGATTGGTCATCGATTCAGATTAGCAAATCCGACCAATTCTCTAGTGTGAGAATCAATATATATATATATATATAAATTTCAAAATAAAGAAAAAAACATAAAAAAAAATGTAACATGTGGGAGACGATCTGGCCATTTTCGACCAATGGGAACTCATTCCTCTCAGTAGTAAGCGGAAGAAGAACATTTTTGCTCAATGGTTTTTATTTTATATATAAGAAACCACTCTTTGAAATTTTAAATAAATTAATGGCTATTCAAAGATAGCCATTAATCACTCAAATACCTTCCCTTTTCTCTCTAGAATCGCATGCAAGAGTCTCTATTTTCAACCTAAATTTTTTGAGGCTCATCTTTGACACAAGATAGAAGGTAATACTCTTCTCTAGGTTTACCTTTTTCTTCTTTTATTTTCGCTCCTTGAATCCTAGCTTTTGATGCTTGTATCTTCTTAACTAAGAGCCATATGAAAGGCAAGAAGCCCAATAAAATTAACACAGTTCTTATTTTTTAGTTTTTTAATAGTTGAAAATTAGAAATCAAAGAAATTTACATACAGATACTATTGGGGGTTCAATTATCAAATAGGTTCACGTTTGCCCGAAATTACAAGTACCATTAAGGTAAATGGTAAGGAAAGTATATAATGAGACAATTTACTTGTGGTACAAAGTGATCACAATTAATCTTGACCAATGGATGTGAAATTGGATGGGGGCATTTATTTTATTGACCAAACTCCAAGTAAAGGTGGTGCATATATATATATATA